TGCCTGGGATCACACAGCTAGTAAGTGAGACTGGATTTGAATTTAAGTCTTTCTGACTCCGGTCCCAGTGCTCTATCTACTGCACCACCCAGATGCATCCTGGTGCATCACAATTTAGTCAATTTAGGTTAAGTTTGGGATTTTCAAAAATTGTTTGGCTTACCCATCCACAGATCTAGGTCCACTCTTCCTACCTGTGTGGCACTGGACAAGTCACTTTCCTCTTCTGGGGAGAGGAGGACATTCGACCCCTCCATGTGCTCCCTCATCCCCAGTGTGGTCACCCCATTTAAACCAAGTTATAGTGAACACATGATCTAAAGGGGAGAGGATGTTTTAGGGGCAGTACAGCATGTTGTACTAAACAGAATTCTAGATATTTTAATCTAGTCAGATTAAAATTTCAACTGTTTCTTACTACCTGTATGACTTTGAGAAATTCACTTAACTTTTCCTCATCTATAAAATGAAATAACTGGAGTGGATTATCTCTAACACTCCTTCCAGGTCTTGATTCTGTGTATCCTTAAGGAAAACTGACACCGTTTCCCCGCCTCCAATTTAGCAAAGTGATACCCCCTTACACACATACACAAGTATCTCTGCAGGTCTCTTTTGGCAATAGCTCTGTCCATTTGGTGGTTGACCCTGCCCTTCTCCAAGGGCTCCAGAGAAGCTCATCTCCTAATTCCTAGTTAGTCCAGAGGGGAATATTTGGTATCCTTCCTGGACAAAAACTGACTCTCAGTCTGTGACAGATACGAGAGTGGTCTGGAAGGCAATGAGGCCCTGCAGTAGGACAGCCCTGATTTTACCTCTCCTGGAAGATCTTATGAATGTTATAGATATATTTTATCTGTTTTTTTTAAATGAATGGATACATTTTGTTTTGACATGACAGAGACTTCCAACAAATATCCTTAGAAAGGATATTTGCCAAAAGAAATGGACTATCAATTGATTGTTAACAGAAAGGAGAAAACTTTGGTAGTATGATACTAACATTGATTATTGCAATTGACCATAGAGTTGGGTTTTTTTCCTCCTCTTCACGCTGTCTTTCATTTACATCATTGTAGTCATGGTTTATTCTGTTCTTGTGGTTCTCCTTTGATCACTCTGCATCACTTCAGACAAGTCTTCCCATGCTTCTCTGATTTCTTCCTATTTGTCATTCTTTTAGCATGGCAATATTCCACTACATTCCCATGACATAATTTATTCCACTATTATAATATGTTGGGTACACTTTGTTTCTAGCTTTTTGCTGTTGCAAATAATGCTATGAACATTTTTATACACTTGAGTCTTTTCTTACTGTCGGTAACCTACTTGGGATAGAGTACCAGTAATGATATCTCTGAATCGAGTTGTGAACAATTTAGTAGTTTTTCTTGCATAATTTCATAGAGATTGTGTAGTCCAATCCTCTCATTTTACAGATTAGGAAACTGAGGCACAGAGTGGGAGTGAAAAACCTTGATCAGGGTAGCAAAAGGTAGTAAATAGCAAACGTGGGATTTGAAACTAAGTCCTATGGCTTCAATTCCAATGTTCTTTTCACTGCACATTTATTCTCATTTAGGCAAGTTGCCATATCTGTAGGAAAGAATTGTCTGCCTTTCAGAGATAGGTGTCATAATAACCCTGCATGAAAGAGTGACCTTAATTGGCAGCTAATGAATTCAAGCTGTCTCACTATGTCACCTGAACATGGAAGCTTCACTGCCATCGGCTCCCCAGATGTGGTACTGATTCATAACTTAATAATACAAATAACCAGCCCTCGAGCCAGCAACAAATACTGCTGAGAAGTGATTAGGGATTACAATAATTGATAACCATAGGGATGAAAATCATTATTGACAAGAAATCAAGGAGAAAATCAATGTCATCATATGGAAGTAATTGGGAACAAAAAGGTAAAGCATCAAACCCTGCAAAAACCTTTAAGAATTCACTTATAGTGGCTGCTTTAATGATTCAGAAAAAGGGAGAAAATCACAAAGAAAAATGAGAACTTAATTCATAAAATGTTAACTATTTGTCTTTAAAAAAGAAAAAAAAATCTCTCCTAGTTCCATCCTATTGGTAACATCAACAGTACAAAGCAACAATTTTTTTGTTTTGTTTTGTTTTGTTTTGTTGTTGTTGTTGTTGTTGTTGCTGTTTTAAAATCAATGTGAGCCCTGGATCTTCTTTTGCTGTTGGGGTTGGGGTAGGCAATTTTTTTTTCTTTTCCAGAGAAACATTTCAACTTGAGGCAGTCTGACTGTTAATGAATTGAACATGAAATACAGCATCCCCAGTAGTTTCATTGTTTGAGAAATTGGACAGTAGAGCTGTTCAGGGGATGCAGTGAGTGGTTACAACCCTGTGGTCACCCTTCCAGAAAGGCCTTAACCCAAAGCATGCCTAGCATCTTCACACCTAGAGCTGAGGTCAGGTACATTGGATTCTGGTGGGCTGGTGTGGCTATTTCAAAGATGACATTATATGAGTTTATATTTTTTAAACTTGACCATTTTGTAAGTGTCCACATCTGTTGCTTCAGCCAAGCAAATAAATGTACATCCATCCCATTAAACTAAGAGAGACTGGCAGTTTTGGATGAGACCCTAGCAAGAGACATCACAAAAGAATCTTGAGTCCATGCTAATCCGAAAACAATCAACAGACATGCCCCAATGCCTCCTCTATATGTAAAGGGTATTCTGTTAAGCCACAGAGAGGATGCAGAGCTGATGTGTGAGACCAGGCTCCCAATCTCCTAGAGTTCACAGGGTTGTAAACAGGCAATACATATATTGACAAATCAACAAAGAGATAAGGGAATAGGGTAGCTAGTCTGTGGCCAAGGAGCTCCAAAGAGGGTGGGATTGCTGTGGGCTGGAAAATTCTCTATGGAGGTAGTAGGGCCTAAGCTGGCCTCAGTGAACAATGGGTGGAAGTCAAAAAGGTGGGGAGAAGCGAGCAGGTGATATAGTGAGAAGGATGCTGCACTTGTTGGAAGGGGACCTGAGTTCGAATCCTTACTCTGCCACTTGACTACCTCTCTGACTTAGGGCAAGTCATTTCCTCATTCTGGGTCTTTTATTCCTAATCTGTAAAATGAGGGAGTTGTACTAGATGGTCTCTAAGGTCCCTTCCTTTTTCTGGGCCTCAGTTTCTTTATCTGCAAAATGAAAGGGTTGGACTAGATGACCTCTGAGATTCTTTTCAGCTCTAGGATTATAATCCTATGCTCAATGAAGGGAAAGAGAAAGGGAAAAGAAAGGAACAAGCATTTGCTAAGCACCTACTATGTGCCAGTAACATGATAAGTTCTTTACAAATCTCATTTGATCCTTACAACAACCCTGTGAGGTAGGTGCTATTACTATTTCTATTTTGCAGCTGAGGAAACTGAGGGAGACAGAGATTATGTGACTTGCCCATGGTCACACAGCTAGTGTCTGAGGGTGGATTTGAACTCTCATCTTCCTGACTCCAGGCCCAGAGTGCTATCCACTGTAGCACTTAACTGCCTAAATGGGGAGAGGGGTTAATGGTATTGGGGTGGTGTGTTTGTAGGTTAATTACCAGCTCAGGGTATTCATATCCCAACATGCCTTTAGGTGAGACATTAGCAATGAGGTTTCTGCTGTTTGAGGTATTCTGATAGAATCCAAAGAAATGACTGGCTTTGACCTCTGAGAAAAGTACAGGCTTTTATTCAATGGAATGAACAGTTTTTCTTGAATGAGAGGACCCAAGTTCAAATCCCACATCTGATGCCTACTATCTATGTGATCTTCGACAAGTCACTTAGCATCCCTGGGGCTCGGTTCCCTCGTTTATGAAATGAGAATGGGGTCAACATCGAATAGAAATGGGTTGCACTAGGTCACATAAACTCTGCCAGCTGCGTGTTGACTCAGTTTTAAAATATGATACTATCTGTTTTATTGTATTTTTATTTATTTTGTTAAATATTTCCTAATTCCTTCTTAATCTGTTTTGGGAAGCACTGGAGAGTGCGGTGGGCTGCATGCTTGATGCCTCTACTTTGTGGTATCTTCCAACTCTAAATCTAAGATAAGCTACTCCAATGACACAAAGTAGGTATTTGAGATACACAGATATGTTCTAATATGTGCAAGTACATCAGAGAGATACAGTCAGTGCTAGGTGAAGTCCAAGAGGGGAGCGATCTTTAGTAGGAGATGTCTGGGAAGGTTTCATGGGGAAGGCACCAACCAGTGTAGTTGGGCACCCTCTTTGCAGCTCCCTGGAGCTCGAGGTTAAGTGACATGCCCAAGGTCACACAGTCACTATATGTGAGAGGCAGGATTTGAATTCAAGTCTTCCTAGCTCCCAGCCTGTTCTTTATCTTCACACAGGCTTTCTCTTAAGCTTTAAGGACATTTTTTTGGGGGGGGGAGGGAATTCAGTAGACGAAGAGGAGGAGGAGAAAGCAGAGAGCAGTCCTATTTGGCTGGAGCAGAGCTAAGTGAAGGGGAGTAGTAGGAAATAATGCTGCAAAGGTATCATTTAAAGGACTTTTTCAGTATTGTCATTGCAATTCCCGAACTAGGAGGTGGGATGATGGCATGAAGCTGTTCTCTAGAAATAAGCCTGCTCTGCCTACGGTTTTCTTGGTGGATCGGCCTCTCGGTGGGGACTAATGTTAATCACACCCTCTTTCCCAAAAGGAATTTGCATGTTAACTTTATAAATGCCTGTGTCTCCATGGAATTAAAGGCAGAAAGAGTTGGGATCCCTGTTCTTCCCTCCCTCTGGCCTCCCCTTCCTTCTCCCACTCTTCAAGTGACTAACCAGACTGAAGATCTAGGAACAAAAGTGATTAAGTACTTTCTGGGACACCTTTGACCTTCCAAAGCTCTTTTCATAATTAACTTTGACAGCTCAATGTGTGTCCCATTAACATTTCAATATCCTGTAATCACTGCAAGGCCAGTGGTTAAGGTAGACGTGTTTTTTGCTTTGTCTCTCCGCAGGATCCGGCTGGTGAAGTTTACCGAGAAACAATCAGCGAGGAACATTTTCGTCTAGAAGGTACTTGAACAAGAATGCTTCCTTAATCAAAGACTGGGAAGGGGAAGCTCTGGTGGGCCAGTCCTCTAGGATTCCCAGAATGTCTTAACAAGTAGTGATTTAGAACCATGTTTGCTGACTGCCTTTTCAGTCCATTTCATACCTGGGAACTTGTCTGTTCACATAGAGATGGCATTGGGATGGTGGGGGGGGTGGCAGGGTTGGGCAGGGGGCCAAGGAAGAAAGGGAAGTGGCAGGGTTCTGTATAAGGAAGAGATTGGGGAAATCAAGATTCAGTAGACCTGGATTCTACTGGATCCTGTCATAGAACGTTGGACGTGGAGTAAGAAAGATCTAAATTTTAATCCTGTCCCAGAGACCTACTATACTAGTTGTGTGGCCTTGAGCAAGTCACTCACCTCTGTCTGTCTAGTTTTTTCATCTGTAAAATGGGGATAATAATAGTACCTACCTCCTAGGGTTATTATGAGAATCAAGTGAAATAACGTATGTAAAGTGCTTTGCAAATCTCAAAACTATATAAATCTGCTATTATAATTATTGTTGTTAATAAAGTTTTAGTTCCCTTTGTTACTAGCTCTGTCTGTTACTTTTGTCAAGTAACTTCACTGCTTTGACTATCAGCTTCTTCATGTATTACTAGAGACTTTGCACCCATTGGTCCTGTCATCTCTCCATCCACAACAGCTCACTTGCAACCACATACACCCCCATGGTTCCTCCTTTTTTCCATTGGATCATAAATTTAGAGTTACAAAGGGAATTAGAAGTCCTTAAATCCAACCCATTCACTTTCCAGATGAAGAAGCCAAATCATAGAGAGCTTAAATGACTTGCCCATGCCCACACAACTAGTAAGTGTCTGAATCAGGATTCGAATCTAGGACTTCATGATTCCAAGTTCAGGGTTCTATAAGGGTTCTCAACTTTTTGTTTTTTGATATCAAAATTAAGGGAAGTGGCTCGAGGAAACCTAGGATACAATCCATCCTTGTAATCCATTGGTTGGGAAACAAGGATCTCAAGAATCCTGAACCTGCTAGGGAAAAACCAAAACTTTTTGACCTCTGGTGTCCAATTCTACTTCCAAGGCCATGGAGAGAATGGAGAAAGGGGAAAGAAAATGAAGTCTATCCAGAAGTTCTAGCTCAGATGTGGTTCTGATGAATCTTTTGGAGACTAAAGCTGGTTTTGATCCCTGGAGGGTTCATAGGATTTAGAGCTAGAAGGGACCTTAAAGGTCATATCATCAATCTATTCTCTTCCCTTCTGACTTCCTCTCCCCTTTTATAGACGAAGAAACTTTAGGCCCAGGGAAGTTAAGTAAATTGACCAAGGTCACATTAAGTAGCAGAGCAGGATTCAGACCCAGGTCCTCTGAATCCTTCTATTATCCCATATTATCTTTTATCTTGACAGGTTTTAAGGGTCATTTGTCAACTGTAACATCTCTGAACTCTAGAGTCTAGATCTCAAAACTGAGTCTTCCAGGATTAAAGGAGTCAGGTTGGGAGGGTGGGAGTGGTGGCACTTCATTTTCTGGGATATGAACAGAGCTTATGTTCTGGGAATAGATGGTGTCTGGAATCTAGAAATTAGAATCTCTTCAATGGCAGTAGTGTTCGATTTTAACTGGAAAAAAGTAACTTTTGGAAGAGGGGAGGATGGGGACAGGGTATAGAGCTAGAGAGTGGGGATATAGCCAGAGGACAGAGGGAGGTGAACTGGATAATGATCTATACTTCTTGGTGGGAGGGGAGGAGGCCATAGAGCAGCAGGGCCCTGAGCTCCTAGATATTCTCTCTGCCCAGTGGTTGGTTGACTATGAGCAGGCCATTCTATCCTGGCACTTGGGGAATCCCCAAACCTATTAGCGAAATAAAGAAACTGAGGCAGAGTGATGAATTGACTCAGGAACACAGTGAGCCTACTACAAAGATGGAGGATGACACTTGAAGTTCTGATTGGACTGATTCCCCCATGTACTTACTCTGCAGAGCCACTGGAATGGTCTAGATGCTTAGTGAGAGCAAATCATGAACTAGTTGGGGTAACTTGAGAACAGAAAACTGCCTAGCAGGGATGAAAATCGGTTTTGCCTTTTCTCCGCTGCCTGTATTTTATAAAGAATTGGAAGCTGCGCCTGGATGAGCAGGAGCTCTGATGGTCACGTTATTTCCCGGGACTCCCCCGTTTTGGTCCACTGCCATTTCCTTTCTGAATGGGGGCAATGTAGCGTGTACCCAGAGAAAGCCTGATGAGCTGAGTCTGACTGCCTGGGCCGAGAAATGCCAATACTGTGAATCACTCCGTTCAGGCTGTCAAGCCCCCTCTTGTCAATGTCAATTAGATTCAGCATTTCCAGATAGGAAGTGGGCTTTTCCATGAGGAGATCCGGCCTTTGGAGAGTGGGCAGGGACCGAAACCAAATGGAACCACTTTGTTTGCAGTGCTTCAGGTATGACCAGCAAACTTCACCTTTTTCACATTTGAAGTCTTGCAGACAGAAAACCAGAGGGAAACCAGGCATGGGTGAAGAATCCAAGTTCACCTAGGAAACTTTTCATAACTCTTAATGATAACAATAATTACCAATAACAATAGCTCACTTTTAGATAATGCTTTCACGATTTCTAAAGTGCTTTCCTTTTAATAATCCTGTGAGTTAAGTATTGGAACAGGTCATAAATATCTTGCAGGTGAAGAAGCTGAGGCTCGCAATGGGGAAATGACTTGCCCAAGGTCACAGAGCCAATAAGTGTTAGTGGCAGCACTTAATACAGGTATTTCAGTCTCTGAATCTAGTGCTTTTCCTAATTTATACTTCATGGATCTTTGATTTTGTTGATGCTGGTATACCTTCTATGAAAATGGATTGTAGTCCCTTTACAATTTCCTAGATAGATGAATGATGTTACAGAAGGGGCCAGGGCAGAAAAATTCATCACCCTGAGGCCAACCTGGTGAAGAACTTCTCCAAACTTAACTCTGCTGGCTCTGAGAGTACATCTACAATCTATGACTGGATTAATACTTTCCATGATTGCACAGAAGGTCAGTGAGTCAGTCAGCAAGCACTTATTAAGCATCAAATATCAATCAATCAACAAACTTTAAGCACCTACTATATGCCAGGCATTGTGCTAAGCACTAGACATCCAAAAAGAGCCTGAAATGACAGTCCCTCAAGGAGCTCCTGGTCTAAAGAAAGTCATGAATATAATGGCTTCATTTCTGTTGGACTTAAAACAGAAATAGGTCATTTGATCTCAAATGCATTTTACCCATAGCAAAATGGTTTGGCCAGTGAAAGACCATACTCTAGGTTGTATTCAAGGGGAAGTTAAATTCCATTGATTTTAGGGGACATTCCGTTCATCTTTATGACTGCTCAGTTCCTAGTACAGGAAATTGCATGTACAGTAACAGTGCTGCTAATGATGAGAATGCTATTCTCTACAATGTCGTTAGCCCTTCCAAGAAGATGAAACTTTAGTGCCTGAAAGGACCCTGAGTTAGAATAGGAGTGCCCAGCAAACAGCAATGGGAAATTACCATTTCGGAAGCTCCTTGGAGATCAACATGCTGCTGCTGTTGCTTCTCTTGGAAGGATCAAGCAAGCCTTGAGCCCCACAGAAGAACTGGCCAACAAGGAGCAGGGGAAGAAATAATTGACTCTTCATTTTGGGTTTTTCTCATGGCCAAGTTCATTGCCTTTTGGAGGGCTTGAGGGGTGTTTAAAGCAGAAAAAAGGCCATCTGAGGCGTGAAGATAAAAAGAAGGCTCCTAGCCATCCATAAAGAAGTGGGATTTAACTCCTGTGTTGTTATGGAAAGCTGGATCAAATCCCCTCCTCTTAACAGACTTAACTAGACCACTGCAAAAGCTCAAAATCCTAAGATTAAGATTGTATTTGGTAAGAGGGCTAGAGCATTAGTGCTTCCTTTTGAACTATAGAAAGAACAAAGTAAACATCAAAAGCTTTAGAGCCGTGAGAGCTGGATTGTTGACTTAGTGTTCCTGCTTCACTAGAGGTTAGGCTTGGAAAGTGGCCACTCTTATTTACTCAGCATCCTGGCCTGGCCTGGCCTGGCCATAGGAGAGGAAAGGAGGAGAGAAGAGAAGAGAACCCTACTTGAGCTTTTCTCATCTCTATCACCTGCCTGAGGTCCCACAAACATTCTGCGTCTCCCAAGACTGTTCCTCAGGTGGTCTCCTGGGGTTCACAGAAAACAAAGGGGGCGAATAAGAGGTGTGGAACCCCTGTTCAAAACTGATGGCTTCCCTTCAACTCTTTACCTTCTAGTGAGGGGCTAGCAACCTGTGACAGGCAGGTATTATTGGCATATACCCTCAACCATGGCAATCGAAACAATAACTTGTATTTTTATAGCAATTTGTGTTTTTTTTGAGATCTTTCATCACAGCAATCCTATGGGCTGGTGACCACAGCTACCTCTCCCCCAACATGGGCAGGAGACCCAGTGTTCAGTGCAGTCCACTTCTGACCAAGAGTTCCCTTGAGTCTCCCCACCTCCCTCCCCTTCAGACACCAAAGGGAAAGGGATCAGAAACTTGGTACATTCCTGTTTGTAAACAGTAGAATAGAAGTATACAACCTGTCTATAAAAATCTGTTCTTTGCAAATCTTAGGATCATAGATTTAGAGTTGGAAGGGACCCTAGCAGTCATTAAACCTAACCCCCCTCATTTTACAGATGAAGGAACTGGTCCCAAGACAATAGAGAAGTGACTTTCTCAGGGCCACACAGCTATTAAGAATATGAAGTCTAGCCCTTGTCTTCCTGACTCTCCGGGCCAGCCCTCCATCCACTGTACCATGCTTTCTCTCCTCTCTTTCTGGCTGCCTCCTGGTCTCCCCTCTTAAAGGTCTGTGTGCTTCTCTTCCTGACTCGGGGTCCATTTGTTTCTGGCTTTCCCCGTCTATTTGTATCTGAGACTCTGGAGGTAAAAGTTGAAGAGTCAGTTCTGCATGGGAG